ACCTCATTTTACGAGGCATAACACCTTCTGTCGACAGAACTCTGTCGACAGAAGGTGTTATTGCCTGTAACATTGCGTCCAGACTACGGAGTTCTGTCAACAAAGCAGCTTGCTTTGTCGACAGAACTTAATGTGTCTGGACGCTCTATGTCGACGGAAGTTTTGTCGACAGTATCTGTCGACAAAACTTCCGTCGACAAAACGCGGTAGTCTAGACGTACCCTGAGAGGCAGGAGGGGGAGAAGAGAAAGAAAGAGATGGAGAGAGAGGCAGAAGGCGGAGGGAGGTGAGAGAGAGAGAGACACGGAGCGAGAGACCAGAGGCTCAGGAGAGAAGCCCGATGTGGAGGAGAGACCTGAAAATCCTGTCTTATGACGGGCTAATTGGCTAGTTTTGAAATAAGTGTTGTTCTTCCTGGAAAGCAGGAGTTGTTATTTCGAAATAACCGGCCTCTTATTTTGAAATAATGGGCTTGGTAGTGTGGACGTGCCACTTGTTATTTAAAAATAAGGGGAGTTGTTTCAAATTAATTCCCTAGTGTAGACCAGGGCCAAGTGAGAAGCCGGAGAAGATTCTGTGCTGGTAACAATATGTACAGAGCCTGTAAAGAATCTGTCTACAAATTCAAATATGGGATTTTCCTACTTACTGAGATTTCTTCCTTATGCAGAATGTCAAATAGCCTGCCGTGAGGACCAATTTAAAGCATTTCCAAGACTTCCAGCATAAATCTCTTTGGCCTTTATTTAAAGACATGCCTTTCCTAGGCAAATGATTTTTGATAGTGGTTGCTAATACTTGTTCCCCTGTACAAATACAGAATATACATAAGGAGCTTATAAAATGTTGACTTTGTAACTCTGCACCATGCCTGCTGGCACAGTTATTGTGGAATATACTGAGATTGCCTTCCACCTGAGGCCAGTTTAGTTCAATCCTGACCAGCTTGCTTAGGAAATGCTTGTTTTGGTTCACCTCATAGAACTGCAGTCCATGGGGATGGAGAGGGACGTGGGTAAGTCTCATCTGAGGCAAGTTGTCATACGTAACCTCCAATGAACCAACGGAGCCAGAGCTACATCTCTGTTTCATTAATTCCAGTTGCAATGTGTCATGTTTTTTACCCTTGAATGCCTCTCTGATTTGCCTTAGGTTGTTGTACCTGTTCTGTAGGTAGAGAAATTGAGTACCTGGTGTACCATCTCTCGGCCACACTAAATTCCTTAGCATCACATCAGAGATGGCTCAAAGTCAAACCGTGGGCCCATGACCCTCTGAACTTCACTGATGACTGATGCCTGTGTCGGGAACTGAACTTCGTGCTGCAGGCCTAGCATTGCATCCTACTTAATAGATGCTTAAACCCCACTTATTTTCCAGGCTTCCTGCTCTGATCTCCATATGGATGATACTTTCATGCTTTCTTGTGCATAATTGCTGTCTTATGTAGCATATGCTCTTTTAATTCACAAGTAAGATCCTTAGATCAGGTACCTCTAAAGTTATGGGGCTCTGGAATTAATAATCCTAATTGTATGTGGCTGTAGCATTTGTGCATACATATATACTATGTGTTGGTCTGTCTACGTCTCAACATCCTCCTGCCTCTCAGTCTCAGTTCAGAGGGTCATGGGCCCACAGTTTGACTTTGAGCCACTGAGGTGTCTAAATACCTGATTTGAAAGCACAGTTGAATAATTAGATATCTATGTCCTAAATCCCATCTCTACCCCTAATCACAGGTGGAAAAAATGGATGACTCTACAGCTACATCGATGTTTAAATGTTCATTTATGAGATCTTTTCTCACAGCAAGACCCAGTTTAGCTTGCTCAGGAGGCCCTTTCTATTGGTTGCTTTCAACATGAGAGATACAGTATATTAGACCTGACCAAAGAGGGGTAGGAATGAGACTTAATCAAGTTGAGATAAGACACCTGTATTCTCCCTGCCTATCTCAAATTAAGATCCTTATTTGTAAGGTGAAAGGTCAACAGCTATGGCCCCAGCAGAAGAAGGTGAGGTGTATACTGAAGCACAGACACCACAAAAATTGTTTTATTTCTTCCAGCTTTTAATGTGACAGAACAAAAACAAAGTCCATTGCAATGGCTCCATTTTGCAGTGACAAACACGGGATCAAACCAAAAAAATATTTGAAAAGAAAGGAAAGAAACCAAGGAAATGGAATTGGCCATTTCACACGAACAGTCAGCTGAGAGAACATCCACATGAAACATTCCATTAAATGTACCACACTGGATATTATTTACAGTGAACCACACAGTGCATACAAGTTTAGACAGCTCTAGAATAACATACAGTAAAGAAGTTATGGGGGTTTTGTTTTGTTTCTTTCACACTTTCCAGTCTGTTTTCCCCTAAAAGCTGCATTAGTTGATACAGAGGTGAGATTGGGTGAGAGAGATTTGACAGTCCACACGGTGCATGGGGTTTTGTTACACATCAGCCTGAATGTTCCATGTGGGGCTTATGTGTCTTTGGAAAAGTCAAAGGACTTGAGTGGGAAAGTGAATGGCTCCTCATGTCACCAAAGTAAATTTCATTAACAAAAATCTTAGCAGTTGTCAGAAAAGAGAATCCCATGCTCAGATCTGGCTCTATCCTATCTCTGTAATGGATCCCCAGATCTGATCCCTCCTCCACTTGGAAGAAGTTTGGGTCTGGCTTCAAATATCAGATCTATAGCTCATGTTTCAGTAATAATATAATGATGGGTTCAGGTACTGGCTTTTTAAAGTTTCAGAGAATGTTCCAGAATTACTGCTGACATAGTAACCTCCGCCAAACTGTGGCCCTTTCTGGGGCTGAGTTCAGCCGCTCTAAGGATGCCAGCAAGAGGAAGCTCTGCACAACTGAGTTAATGGAAGGGGTGGAGAATATTCTAACCGACTAAAGCACCAGGAAATATATGGAGTGGGAATGCAATTCCCAAGGGCATCAATAACCTCCCTGGGCATCTGAGCAAAGGCGTGTGGGGCTCCCAGAAAGGACTGGGCCTTGCACAGAAGGGGCGGGACTGGGAGCAGCCAGCGCTCCACCCACAATGCACCACACAGGTCTCCCTGCCAGCCTGAAGTGCACGACACTGCGCTCCAGTGATGATTCAAAGGACCACGGACTCTGGCTGCTGCCACAGTAGAAACAGGGACAGCTGGGAACCCTGGACCCCTTTGAATCACTGGGCCTTGGGGCAACTGCCCCATTTGCCCTGCCCCTCTTGGTGGGCCTAGAAATTCCCCATATTAGAATAGGGCCAGGATGCTCAGACTAGTGTATGTTTGCATTTCACTGGCACCTCCCACCAGTGGATCTTGGGATGCTTATGTATGCTACTGAATCAAAACTCCCTATATCCCTGTGTTACTGGTGGGTTTCATCCACTCCACTTTACAGGTAGGAAAATGGAGGCACAGGTGCTAGATTGTACCCACCAGAGTCATCCATAGAAGGGCCTCTCAACCTGCTTTGTTTCCCCTGTCCAGGTGGTAGAGCATGTATCTCAACCATTGTGCCCGCGACCATGTGAAAGAGAGGGCCATACTGCTCTTTGGCAGATCCTCAGAGACCCATGGAGTTTGTGGCAGAACCCTCTTTGTTCTGTGTCCCTGTTGCCAGTGGTAAGACCAATTGATCATACTGGTCCCTTTTGGCCTTAAAGTCTATGAAATCTGCTAAATGATTTTGGGAGTGAAATGGAAGCTCATAGCTTTCTATAACCAGGAACCAGTCCCTCCAATAGATGGTCCAGTGTATCCAGGACATTCTAAGTTGAGATGACCTTAAACTGTTGCAAATATCAGAAATAGAAAGGTAAAATATTGGCCTTATCTGAGAAATTCCATCTCTAGCTGGGCCCAGTTCCCATCTCTTGCAATGTTGATATGAAACAGATTTCACTGTAGAAATGGGCTCACTCCACACACTATAAGGCTGTTGGGATTCATGGGTTTGATCCCGAAAAGAGATTGGCAGCAGCTCAAAATTCAGACCCATTTCCAAACATTCCAAAGTTGAGCATAAAGCACTTTGGTTTGGCCCCTAGTCTAAAACTAGCAGGCAGTAGGGGGAGGATAAACACTGGAGGGGCGGGTGCAGCTTTACAGGGAGCTAATTGGGCTACAAATGAACAAAAACAGGAGTGCTGAGAGTATATTGAGGAATCGACAGATCTCTGTAATCAGAATAAGATGGGTTTTATTTCCCCATACTACAGTCTTTGTTATATGCCTAGCACTGTAGAATCCCTTCTCCGACTATTATCAGATGCAATGTGTCTAACCTCTTACATTAGATCTGGGCTTGTGAACTCCTGCTCCACAGTTCACAGACAAGAATTGTACAAGTCATTGGGACACAAGGGCAGCATCCTGCATATTTGTGAGTGACTGCATCATACATATTAGAGATGCAACAGGACTATTTTATCAGCTAGCTGATTCCCCTTGCTAATATAAGACTGATACTCACTGTCCACCACCCAATTCTTTGTCCCACCTAACCTCTGGGATCCAAACATCCAAGGCTTCTAAAGATTTAGTGATCATCTCCAAATCTACTCATCCGTTTCTAGTGATTGAAGATCTTCTGAGAAATGTATTCATTACTTTCTCAGTGTAAACACTGCAGCTAGAGTCATTGTACAAGGTCAGTGTGGAACACAATCAGGTCAAGTTAGTACTTTTGAATGTCACACCACTACACGCTTACCTAACAGTGCTTAGTAAAATAAATAGGGATGAGCTCCCCATCACAGAATGATACAAATTACTGTACTAGGCCAGATCATCGAATCATAGAATATTAGAACCAGAAGGGACCTTGAGAGATAAAGTCCAGTGTAACATTCTCCCCAGACACACTGGGACAAATAGAGTGAGTCGCCCGGCCAAGTAGCTTAACCACAAGAAAGTCAGTGAGTACTTCAGTGCTGACATACCTATCTATCTCCAGCCATGGGAAAGGGTTTGGATGGTTTTTAGGGAACACTGTTTTCTGGGACACAGTTCTCAGCCGCAGAGAAAGGGTTAAGGAGGCACCCGTGTACTGTTGCCATATTTAAAAGGATATAGTAACATGACTTGCAGCCTTTCTGAGGGACCATGTGATGTGCCTGAAGAAAGCTGGACCTAGCCCTTTTAAAGACTAGTAAAGAAGGGTTCAAAGCTATTTATAAATGGAAGAAACGAGGCATAAGACACTTGGAATTATTACAGCACTTCATGATTTTATCACATTCATAAGCCTCAACCTAAATCTGCAAAATCCATAGCCTGTTGTCACCTGGGAGTTTCACGATTACTTAGTGCCACTTCCTTGCTTGAGAAGACCACAGAACAGTGAAATCCAACAGAGATTTAATGTCACTGGCAAGGAGTCACAGAAACATTTGCTTCCCATAATTTATTGGTACTCAGTATATACTTTTACTGTAGCAAATGCAATGGTGCCCTGAATGAATCCTGTAGCTATCAGGGGACAATATTAATGTGAGTTACTGCTTATATATAACTGCCTCTGTGCAGTGGAGGAGTTAGACTTTAAGTCTTTAACCCTAGATATAGGGGATTCAGAGTGGCCTCTTTCCTGTTCTTAAAGGCAGGGGACCCAGGGCAGGTTAATATGCCTTTTAAAGGTCATTAAAGAGGAGAAGGATGACCTGGCAAGAAAGGAAAGACAGAGCAAGTGAGCCACAAAACTCTAGAATCCAATCAGCACATGAGTTTCTAGGGATCTGTTATGCAAATAAGTGAACATCTCTAGTAGTTTCTATATAGTAGAATGCATTATTCCGTAAGATGCATTTTTGCTGGCAACTGTACCATTATATGAACCATCAGTTCACTGCCGCCTGTTGTGTAAAGGGGAAATCCTTGTGGATTTTGACAAATTTCAGCTTGGATTCAAATGTGAACCAGTGATTTTTAACAGCCCAAATGGAAACCTTGATTTACATTTGCACTGTGCCACTTCTCCATCAAACCTGACAGTGGCAAAAATACCAAACACCTTTTCATGTCACAAAATGTCTTAGCAACACAAATTTCCTGCATGAGTCATTGGTTCCCATTAGATGCCAGCCAGCCTCTGTGCCTGCTAATAATCTGATTAGCATTATCTATTTGTCATGAGCTGTGGAGGCTTACTTTTTTTCTTGCCTTTCATTTTTGCTTCCAAAAATATATCTCTGAAATTGCGACTGAACGTGTACAGAATAGCCTCGGATTTACAAACAGCTTGTGAATAGAAGTTGTTCATAACTCTGAAATGTTCATAACTTTAAACAAAACATTAGTGTTGTACCGTCAAACATTTGCAACTGAACAGTGACTTAATACAGTGTTGAAACGTTACTATGCAGAACCAAAATGCTTTTTTGAACCATCTTAATTTCAATGTAACATGCAAAGAATCAGTTTTCTTACCTTGTCTTTTTTTTAACTTTTCCTTTAATTTTTAGTAATTTATGTTTAATAGTATTGTGCTGTACAGTGGTTGCTTTTTTGGTCTGTGCTGACTGATTGCGTATTTCTGATTCCAAATTACACGTATCATAACCAGTCAGTTTGTAACTCTGGGGTTCTACTGTATCACTTTGTGTTAAGTTGTGTGGCAAAGTCATATCATGAGGAGTATAGGAATTCCAAGAATGCTCTTTACAGTATATAAAACTTAATTACCCCACTTAACAGACAATTAAATGTACCAACAATGAAAGTTTGCTAAGTGCATTCTCTAAATAACAGGTTAAAAGGATAGAAATAATTGTGCTTACAGTGCTCCAATAAGACCCAATTCTATAGGAAACTCACATATTTTTCTTAACTAATATGGCTAAAATGCTGGTAAATGCTAACAGTTACCATACTCTAAATTTTGAACAAAATTGTCCCCTATTTACACTGCATAATATATACACATTTGGTTTGCAGAATCCCCAACATCATGCCAATTTCTCTTAAACAGAACTAGGCAGAAAAAAAAATCCTTTTATAGAAATATCCTAAAATCAACACCATTTAAAGAACTGTTGGCTGGACAAGAATTACATGTCTCTTCCTAGGGATTGCTCTCAGTTTCTCAGATTAGTGGGACTGGGTTATAGTTTTTGTTTTAGTTTCCTCCTGATTAGAACAACATAAAGATTTAAAAATTGATTAAAATAGGTTATATTTTTTATTTTAAAAAATCCCAGATCAAAACGTGACTTGTGATTCTGGGTGCCCTTTAGAGATAATACAAGGGACCTGATTTTCAGAAAGCACCGCACACTTCTCTGAAAATCAGGCCCCTTTGAAAGTGTCTCAGGTAGGGCCCCTAAAAATCAAGATACTCCATATCACTAGTTACTTTTGGAAATCTTGACTCCAAAGGAAAAACTAACCTCAGCAAAGCTGGTTTGTTAACTATCTTCCAGTTCTTTTGCAAGCAAGGACAGCTTGTGTTAATTGCCTGCACCAGCATGGAAATGCAGGTGCTTTCTTGCAACTCCTCCAGGGGATATAGAGGTTTGAATCTGTTCTTCCCCCTTGATTCCTGCACACGCACATTTTGTGACCGTTGTGCTCATGCATACATGGGAAGGACAGATCCTCATTCCCTCCCCAGTGTGGGTTGTATCGCAAGCAAATGAGCCAAGTTCTGCTGGATGCACATACCCTGGTTGCAAAGAGCCAAACATGGATGGGAAGTGATCTTAAATTAGGGGTTGCTTCTTTCCCCCTCCCCATATCTGAGGTATCAGCAGCAAAATATAAGTGGACATTTTGATTTTTCTAGCCATGGCTCTTTTGTGTAGCTCTTCTTTATTTACCCGCTGCCTGGTTGCTCACATCAGGACCTGTTCTCGAGTTTCTGGTAGCCTCAGAGCTAACAGGCCTCCTGCAACCAGTGCAGAGGAGGCCAGAAGGATGGGAACCACTTTGGTTATCCCAACAAAGGAGGCAAAGATAGAGTTCCCCAGGATGGCACCAAATTTGCAGAGACCATTGAGGATACCAAAGGCTGTGGATCTGCAGGAGAGGAAGAGCAGAAAGTGATGGTTAGGGGTCAGACAGGGCTGTGGGTTATTTTGATGGTTTCACCGTCATTCAAGGAGGGTTGAGTCATTGCATGACTTCTCCAATATCTATTCGCTCCTATTCTAGGTAGAAGAGGACCCAGTGGGCACTGCAGGCATCCAGTGTGGTCATGGCTATGCTTTTAATGAAGCCTGATTTGAGCTATGGACGTTAAATGAAACCTCATGCTTCAGAGCACATGCCGTTCACCTGCTGGGGTCAACAAAAATATCCCCATCCCCGCAAGTGCAGGCTTGAACCTTTGTTCAGGTGCATGTCGTGGCTGGTCTGACTTCCTTTGAAAAATCACATACTGGCCACTGTTGGCATCAGGACAGCAGGTTGAGTAGACCAGCAGTCTGATCTGATATGGAGCATCTATGCTTCTAGCGAATAACTGGAGCTAGATTGAATGAATGCCACTGAGTTTTTTGTGGGGGAGAAGGCAGAGTGTATTTATAAGCCTTTAATTATTTCCATACCACCATCTTTTGGAGTTCACACAGTGCTTAATTTGTGCCCTGGCTGAGCCACCGTACCTCTGGGCTTGGCAGTTCATAGTCCTGGAAGCTCTGGACTTGGCAGTTCATAGCCCTGGCACCAATAAGCTTGGAAATTCTAGCCCTGGAAGCTCTGGGCTTGGCACTGTATAGCCCCACTGCCTCTGGGCTTGGCAGTTCATAGCTCCAGCACCTCTGAGCTTGCTGCATCAATTATGAAAGCAAAAAAGTTGCTTGAGACCAAGCACCTAATTGCTTGAGCCCTGGCACCATTTTCAGTACCAATTAAGCACTGAGTTCACATCATGGATCAATGTTTTCTTGTGGCTATAAAGCTATGAACCTGGCTTGCTCTAGAGCTTGTCAAAGCCACTCCAAGCACTGGTTAGAGTGAGTGGCCAGTGGAGAGTCACACAGAGAGTTCCAACGCACCCTGATTCACCCAGCAGCTGAGCAGTACAATCCCAGTACTTCCCTCACAGCTGTCATCAATATGAAGGGCAGGAGAGGCATAACTATTTTGATGTAGACAGGTTTGTCTCTCAAAAGCTCAATCCTGAAACCTTGATATGGCTGGGCAAAGTTGTTCAGAAAACCATTAATTCGATGAAAAATGCAGTTTGGGTCAACTGGAAAATATTGGTGAATTTGACACAGATAGTTTTGACCATTCATAAAACAGCCAAAGGAAGAGAAGGTGGTCTTGGTACTTCTACCCCCTGCTCTGCATGTTAAAATCATCTTTAATCCAGTGGGTAGGGCACTCACTAGAGATGTAGGAGGCCCACTTTCAAATGCACCTTTCCCCCTCACCCCTGGAACAGACCCCAAATGGGTTTTCTTTGATTCACTGACAGTTCTGAAAATATTTAGATTAATTTAGACTCAAATTGTTTGGGGCTCTTTCTTTCTTTCTTTCTTTCTTTCTTTCTTTCTTTCTTTCTTTCTTTCTTTCTTTCTTTCTTTCTTTCTTTCTTTCTTTCTTTCTTTCTTTCTTTCTTTCTTTCTTTCTTTCTTTCTTTCTTTCTTTCTTTCTTTCTTTCTTTCTTTCTTTCTTTCTTTCTTTCTTTCTTTCTTTCTTTCTTTCTTTCTTAACTGCCACCAAAAATCAGTTATTTACCCAATACTACTTCTTAATACCTGTGCTGATGAATTGTAGCCACAGGAGTCATCGGATCCCTGAGATTATTATTTTTTAATTGGAAATCCATCCACATACTATTTTAACTCAATAATTTGTTCCTTGGATGTGAGAGAGGCAGTGCCTGAACTCAGAGAATCAAAGAGAAGAAATATTTTGAGCATCGTTACCTTTTACTGGTGGGATAGAGCTCCACAGTGATCACATCCAGGGCATTCCAGGCAGCAATGCTGGCCCCGCAAAACAGACACTGCAAGCCAATCATGGCAGACTCGCTATCGCCAAAGAACAGAAAGAAGCAGCAAACTGCAGAAATCAGCATGGAGCCACCTGCCAGGGAAGGAAGGAGAAAAGCATCATTCTCTGGGCAACCAAATCCACCACGAACAGGAACTTGCATGGTGACAAGTATCAGAGGGGTAGTCGTGTTAGTCTGAATCTGCAAGAACAACGAGAAGTCCTGTGGCACCTTATAGACTAACAGATATATTGGAGCATTTGACTAAGTGGGTCTTTGCCCATGAAAGCTTATGTTCCAATATATCTGTTAGTCTATAAGGTGCCACAGGACTTCTCGTTGTTCTCAAGAACAAGAGTCTTCAGATGATAGATTTTTTTCCCCTAGAGACAAGCCATCTTCACAATATTCAGCTCATCAGCCAAATGATGCTATCTGTTGCTTTTTGGGGCCAGGAAACCAACTGGAAATCTTCTGGTGTGACCAATAGTCTCACACTGCAGAGATCACACGTGGGTTCTCTTGTGTGGTATGGCAAAGTTCTAGCTGGACCGTGGAAGAGCAGAGGCAAGTAAATATGAACATCGATAGATGGGAAGAGTTATGTGAAGGCTGCTAAAGCTGAAAAGTGGTTTGAGTTTTGGGTGAGAAATTAGGACAGTTTCTATTGCATTCAAATCACCTGGCTCATCTCTAAGCTCACAATATTCAGTCAGTTGTCTAAAGCACTCTGGGTCTCCCTTAATTATAAAGATGTTATTAGGTAGAATGGCACAGTTACACAAGGGCTTTAATTTTATGCACAAGCCCAAGGGACAACGTGAGAACATTCATGCTTCATTACCCTCAATTCAGGCTCACTTCCCCTTGAGAATTTCCCCTTAGGATGATTTTCCAATGGAAAATGCAATTTCCACAAAATCAATGTTTCTATTTCCTGTCAGGAAAACAAAAACAAATATTTTCCTTTGGGTCAGTTTGAATGGATCAACATATTTGGGATAGTTGATCTGATGCTAAATGTTTCATTTTAGGTCAGTTCAACATAAAATAAATTTCCTGATTGTGGCCCATTGCCTCACAGGAATCATCGTTTGTATTCCCTTTCCTATGGACTGAGCCAACCAGACTACATTTCCCAAGATGCAACACAGTAATTCCTCTAAGCGACATGGTGCATCATGAGAGTTGTGTAACTTGGGGTATATCATGAGAGATATTCCATCTGAACTAATGCCCCCCTGTCCAAGGAGGCAATGTTCCACTACAAAGAAATGCAGTTTCATGTTGAACTGATTGGAAATAAACCATTCTGGATCAGTTCAGCAAACCAACATGAATTATTTCAGTTTGAGAATATTAACATGTTTTATTTTGATTTAAAAAAAATTCAAAATGAACATTTTTCAGTTTTGGAAAAGTTCCAATAGTTCAACCTTATGTCCCAATTTGGTTGAACTATAAGGATTTTCCGCAGAATGGAAATTCTGATTTTTATTTAGCTCTAATATTTGCCAACTATCCTAATTTTTTCATAGGACACTTTTAGCTTGGTTGCATGTAACCAATGTCCATTCCAAGAGCTCTGAATTCACTTGAAGGTTGATGCAGCTTACTCTGATGGTAAAACCATCCTACCTTGGGGTGAAACTATATTAGGACTAGATGACATTGCCTGGCCACTTTATGAAACAACATCAGAAAATCCCAGTGTGTGTGTCAAGGTCGCATAAAATGAGGATTCAGTACCACAAGGTGACGCCTTTATCAGCATATTGCATAATCAGTAATCCAGCCCCTGGATGCTTGATCTAGGGCAGGACTTAGCACAGTCTGAGGGTACGTCTACACTGCAGGGGTTTTCCGGTATCCTGGAAAAACACAGCCGTGTCCAAGGAACGCATTTGCTCTTCCACAAAAAAAAGCAGAAGAGCAAATGCGCTCTTTCAGGGAGCCCTGTTCTATGAGCCCTGTTCTATCCTTTGCAGAAAGAGGAGGCTTTTCCATCATTTAGCCCCATCTAGACTGGGCCAAATGGCGGAAAAGCCTCTTCCAGAAAAGCGATCGGAAAAAGCTAAGCAAATTGCAAAGCGCAATGGCTACGTCTACATTGGCCCCTTTTGAAGTAGGAATAAGATCCTCCGGAAAAGGGTGCTTTTTCCGGAGGATCGGGGCCAGTGTAGACGCTCTTTTCCGGCTTTTCTAAAAGCCGGAAAAAAGCGGCGGACATTTTTATTTAAATGCCGCGGGGGATATTTAAATCCCCCGCGCATTTCCCTATTGCGATTTCAAAAATTACCATGCCCCTTCCGGAAAAGGGGCCAATGTAGACGAGCCCAATGTGTATAGCTTTTTCCAAAAAAAACCCTATAGTGTAGACCTAGCCTGAGTTTACTCAGTTTGGGCACCTGAGAGAGAATTATAGGGTCCTCCCTGTGTCCAACAGCCACAGTAATGAATCTCTTTTTCTATGAATGACAAATTAGAGGTGTCTCTCCTCTATTGCAAAGGATAATACAGTCGTCAGCATCATCCCCGTCATCATTACCATCATCAACACAACTGTTCCTAGTGGTCCCAACTAAGACCAGGGCCCCATTGCACTAGGCACTGGAAACATCCATAATGAGAGACAACCCTTGCCATGAAAAGCTGACAGTCTACAAAAAAAAATATGTAAAAAGGGGGAGCAGAGATACACTGGTGCAAGCTATTACAGTGGGTCAGTTGCTGAGGCATATATTTCTATGGTCAGTTTTGCACAGGAGGTCTGACTAGATGAACACAATAGTCCCGTCTGGCTGTAGAATTTAGGAATCTATGAAATTGGACCCAGGTGGCCTGAGTCTTCATCTAGTGCCCTACCCATTGAACCATTAACTTCTTTGCTTTATTTGGCATTGGAATAACACATCACCCTCTCAGCCTGACCATTTTTCATTCATGTGCATAGAAACAGAGATACCTTTGTATTCACAATATCCTTTCATTATGCCCGGGGTCACCATGCTCCCAGCATTAACATGTCACCTGCCCATCATCCTCACTCACCAATCATCTTTATTCTTCCTATTTTGTCCATGAGCAGTGCTGAGATGATGTTGCCAGGCAACACAGACAAACTACCCAGGAAACTGACGAGATAAATCAGAAAGTCGTTTTCCTGCTCAAAATCCAGGTGACATCCCTCCTTCTGGACCAGGAAGGTGGTGTTTATAACCCTGCACTCGATGAATTTGTGTTCATAAAGGTCTGGGAAGGCAAAAGGCAAAGATTGGACTCTCAGGGGAGCAGCCACTGCAGCTGGGAAGAAGGAGACATTCTCGGGGCTTAGTTCAGGTTAAGGCTCACTGGAGTGGAAAGGTGCAACCTGCCTAAGTGGCACTAGCTGGAGGCCTCATGCCTGAGTAGCCAGAAGCAGACATACTCTGCCAAAGGGCACCGTATGTGACACCTGTAGAACAGGGATAAACCTGTGCATCTCCTTGCATTAGCTGATATGTAAGGAACAAGAGCATGCATATAGACCTATATTGCCTCATAAAGCCACCTCTAGTTTCTTCGGTGCTGGCAGCGGATCTATCATTTACCTACCCTCCAGTGCCTGGAGAATGCTGGCTCCAGAATTATGCCTACCTTTCACACTACAGGGAAGAGGAGCATCCTTTTAATACACCCATGCTGGAGCAGTCATACTTTAGCACTAGCTGCTTAGCATTCCAACCAATAATGAGCAATAGCCCATGTGCTGGTGCCATAGGCTGTGATTTTCATCGTCCAGTGACTTATTTTCGGTTAAAGGGAAAGTGAAAAGTTCTTTTTAAATGAATTGAGATAATTAAATTAGCTCAGCTGTGTGAGATCCCAAATCAGAAGCTGGATAGGGATTGAAAAAAATGACTAACCCAAAACTGTTTAAAATCCAGTTCCTCTGTTACTTTAACTTGCCATGGTCTGAATTCATTTTTTCTGGGTTTCTCCTGCAATGGTCAATGACACCATAACCAGTGCAATTAAGAAAGAAGGAATGCAGCTGTCTGATCGGCTTTAAGTCCCTCAGTGAGCGCTACCTGAAGCCAACACTGAGATGGAACTAGCACTGCAAATGGGAGCTGTTTTAACCTTGGGCAAAATTCTGATCGCAGTGCAATTTTTGCAACTGAGGCATATATATGCCTGGAATAGTAAACTCAGATCTTGAAAGATGGGAACATCCTAGTTCACCTTAAATTTTAAAGCAAATACAGTATGTAGCCCTCCTCTACAGAAGTTCACCATAGTCACATTTAACACCAGAATTGATCCCTTTCTTAGTACCTGATCACTAACAGCCCCACATACCTGCTTCTATAGCATCACTACAAACTGCTCTTTACAAATCAGACCTGACCAAGTCAGGAATCCCCTTACCAGTGTTATAGAAGACAGAAGAGATAATGGTGCAGTTTTTGAAGAAGGTCTCACTGGATGTCACGTCTTCAAAATAGCACTCCTCAAACAGCATGTCCTCAAAGGTCACATATTTGAATTTCATCTTCTCAAACCTGAAAGGCAGCAAAAGAATCCCCACCCCAAGCAGAAGTGAGTAAGCACAAAGCACACAATGACCATTCCAATAACCTCTGAACGTACAAATGATATGGTCACACAAAGGGACAGTGGTGGTTCCTAAGGACAGGTATTGTGTGACTGCAAGAAAGAGGGTTTTTCTGGTGGTAGACATCGGTCATCTAGGATTCTCTGCACCTACTTCGCTTTGCAGAGTCCTCACATCAGACCAATCCACCCTTTTAACCAAGAAAGAGTGGACACCACTCCTATCAATACTGCTGTGGCCTCGCCTAGAGAAGGCATCAGTCAACAGCAATGCAAACCCCTCTCTCTGTCCCTGGGATGAGCTTCTTGCCCCCATTTTCCTCCCATCTCCTTGCCAATGGTAAATCAAAATATCCTTTATCAGAAGCCATCAGATCTATTGGGCTACGTCTGAGGCCTTGGAGGCACAAATACCTAATTTCCAGTCCCATCTCTGCCACTGCCTATGTGATTTTGGGTAACATCTATGCCCCATTTCTGCAATATTATGGAAGGAAGCACCAGATGGCGCTGTTAGACATTGTTTTCCCAGCTCTTTTCCTTAACCCAGGGATGAGCAACCACAAATAGTGGGTGAGTCACACAAGTGGCCCTTCTTCACCTCTATGGGCCGTAGCAGCCCACTGGGGTTCCACCTGTGGCATCCCTGTCTGCCCCCACCATATGCCTCTTGTGAACTGGGAGCACCAGATCCCTGCACATATCTGCTCCTCCCAGAGATGGAATGACACAAACAGCTGACCATTCCAGCTCTGGGGGGGAGGAGGGGAAGGACCAGGGATGGAGCATGAATCAAGCTTTTCACCGCTGCTCCAAAAGTGCAGTATGGAGGCAGGAGGTATAGGACATGCAGGGCTCTGGTGCCCCAGTATACGAGGTGCATGGGGGAGGGAAGCAACCAGGGGGGTCCATGGGCGCTGCAGATTGCCCACCATTGCCTTAGTCTGTCAGTGCTCTACATTTTTTGAAGAAATGCAGCATTGTTGTCAGTGCTGCGATGGAGTTTCTTTCCAGGCAAGCTGTTGCAAACAGCAATCATGTGTTCTCCTTCTCTTAATTTTTCTAACTAATGTCAATTCTTCAGATAGAAAAAGGCTTCTTGGGAATGAGGCATTGGTGCCGGGCTAAGATTTTTGAAAGAGGGATTCACCTGCATGTTGACTTCCTCTGTTCAAAGACTACTGTGTGTAGTGTAAATAAAACAACACTAAGAACATGCCCAGGCTTATCACAGATTTCTGTTCCCATTTGAAGCCAGCCTGCAGGGCTCCGACATGGGCTACCCACTTCTTAGACAGGTGACGATATTCTTACACACAGTATCTCACAGAAGTATGGTGAAAATTGATTCATGAATAGGCAGGGAGCATTCTGAAGATGTACAGAGCTATATAAGTCAGAATATTCTTGTCCAAGTTAATGAGAGCAGGGCAGGCACCAAATAAAAGGCTTTGAACAAAAATCCAGCAACTTAATTTAATTGACCATTTGCAACAGCGCCTAGTTTGATGTTTTACTCTGATAAATTAATGCTACAGGCTTCCCAACAGAGGCCTCAAACTATTATGAATGTTCAAAAATTACATGAAGACTAATCAAGCCCTGTGTTCCATAAAGAAGGTCTCAGAGGTTACAACAAAAGTGAGGCTGATTTACATTTGCTCAGTAATAGTCTGCAATGCATTGACTCTTCAAGGCCTTTCAAGACCCCCTCCCTGCAGTTTGCTGGCTGAAAATCCATCTTTAAAGGAGCTATAAAGCAGCTGCCTGGCCTCCAGTCGGATTTTAACTCACTGCCACGAGCTGGTGAGAAAATGGAGCCATAAGTCATACGAGGATGTGATGCAGGCAGTGCTAGAACACAGGCTGAGCACTCTTAGAGTGAGTTACTGCAATCAAAAAGAACCAGCAAGTGGGCTAAGCATTAAGAACATGCCTGATGGCTCCTTTTACCCCAAAGAGATGTATGTCTAGGGCACATCCCTACCCACAGCTCAGTCCTGCAAGGGGCCAAGTGCCCTTGATGCTGAAGTCAGGAGGTACTGAGGACATTCAGCACCTCTATTGAATCATCTGCCCTTTGCACTATTAAGCTCCTACTCCCTTCACCAAGACACTGGTGCAATCCATCCCGTGTCTGGCTGCTCCCCAATGGGGAGATAAAAGAGTTCAGAAGTAACTCCCCCGTGCTATTGAGGAATATCTAACACAGTAACTGTGGCTGAAATGTGCTAGGTTACAGCAGAGGGAACATGAAGCTTGTTTTCTTTCGCAAACACTGAAGAGCAATGGTCTGTACAGATGCCAGGCAGCACTGGGAAGACAAAACAACATGCAGGGAGTGTGGAAGAGGAAGAACATTTAGTGTGTGTCTGGACTACATCTCTCTATCGGCAGAGAGATGTAGATTAGGCACATCGAAATTGCTAATGAAGCGGGGATTTAAATATCCTGCGCTTCCTTAGTATAAAAATGGCCACTGCTTTTTTTCAGCACGGAGCTTTATCAGAGAAAAGCGGCAGTCTAAAGGCTGATCTTTCAAAAAATAAAGCCTTTTTCAAAAGATCCTGTAAACCTCATTTGATGAGGGATAAGGGATCTTTCTAAAAAGGCTTTATTTTTCGAAAGATCACCCTCTAAACTGCCCCTTTTCTCCGACAAAGCTCCGTGCCGAAAAAAAGCAGTGGCCATTTTTATGCTAATGAAGCGTGGGATATTTAAATCCCCGCTTCATTAGCAATTTTGATGTGCCTAACCTACATCTCTCTGCCGATAGAAAGATGTAGTCTAGACACACCCTTAGTGAGCACACATATGCATATGCACACACACACATACACTCTCTCTCTCATTGAGTCACCAACCATATCCAATATAATCATTTTGCAATGAGAGTTCAGATACAATGACTGTGCCCTGATATTAAACAAGACTGTGGGCCGGGGTATTTGGGGTCTAGTAGACTATTTACTTTCTAAGGACAGATCCAAATGACTCTCTGTTGTATTGCATACAGTAGGAGTGGGCAATGAGCAGACTGCCAGTTGGACACGGTTCACCAGGGTTAGCCCCTGGCGAGCTACAGGACACTTTATTTACCTGCTCATCTGCAGGTATGGTTGCTTGCAGCTCCTGTCGGTCATGGGTCATCATTCCCATCCAATGGGAGTGGCGAGAAATGGTAACTGTAGAAGCGTAGGTGAATGAAGCATCTGGTAGCCCTCCACAGGCTAACTCTGGAGAACCGCCTCCGGCCCATGAGCCACTTATTGCCCACCCCTGTATTACAGGCTAAAGAATTCTTTGTGCTACCATACAGCCTTGGGTCTGCCCAGGGTTTGGTCATATATTCCAACAGGGCAGAGCAATCACTATCTTGATTCCTCCATCAGCGGAGTGAGTTCTGGAGCCTTCCTAGAGGAACAATGGGACCAAAATACCTAATTGGCTGAGCTTGATAAATGTATGGAGGGCATGGATGATGGGACTGCCTACAATGGCATGTAACCCATCTAAGGGTACGTCTAGACTACAGGCTTCTGTCGACAGAAGTTTTGTCGACAGATACTGTTGACAAAACTTCTGTCGACAAAGAGCGTCTAGACTACATTGAGTTCTGTCGACAAAGCAAGCTGCTTTGTCGACATGGTAGTGTGGACGCAAAGGACAGTTTACATGCAATAACACCTTCTGTCAACAGAAACTCTGTCGACAGAAGGCGTTATGCCTCGTAAAATGAGGTTTACCAGCGTCGACAAAACTGCTGAGTTCTGTCGACGTTATGTCGACAGAACTCAGCAGTAGTGTGGACGCAGGTATAGTTTTGTCGACAAAAGTCCACTTTTGTCGACAAAACCCTGTAGTCTAGACACACCCTAATACTCCTAATAGCAAATATCTCTAAGAGCTAGTGATGGGGGACACTGGATAGGGAGATTTCTGAATTATTACAGAGAATTCTTTCCCAAATGTCTAGCTTTTGGCTCTTACCCACATGCTCAAGGTCTAACTGATTGTCATATCTGAGGTCAGGAAGGAATTATTCCTTGGGTCAGACTGGCAGAGACTCAGAGCAGGGAAGATTTCGCCCTCCTTTGCAATATGGGGCATGGAACCTTGCCAGTTTAAGCCAGTGTAAATGGTGGATTCTCTGTAACTTGAAGTCTTTAAATCACCATTTGAGTACTGCAGTAACTCAGCCAGAAGTTGGGATCCCATTGCAGTAGTGGTCTGACCCAGGATGACTGGATATAAACAAAGGAGCAGCCATAAAATGCCACCCGGATGTCAACCTCCATTAGAAACAGATGGAGGGAACCTAAAATCATGTTTGCCAATGGACAATAGTGATAGGGAATGTCAGGTAGTTTTCAACTGCTAGGCATAAAATAAAAAGTGATTGTAAGATGGTACCTGTGTTGCAGGGGGCACATGTAGAGCTGAGATTTTAGAGAGTCTAAATCTATTTGGAACTATGTGAGTAATTTATGTTGTAACAGCTAGAAGGCAAGGTGGTGAACTTCCAGTTAGACATGTGGACAGGGTCCTTGTGATGGGGCACTCTGAGCTAGCAAGTGAGCCAGCACCCTGGTCACTGTTCATACTAGGTTCCTCTAGAAAAGGAACGGGGAATGGGGGAGGGGGAGGTGAAAGGAGAGATACCAACCAACCAACCAACTAGTATGCTAGGAGAGCTTGACAAAGGGAGTCCTTTAAGCAGACACCCTCTCACCTCACCCCTTGGAGAAGGAGTTAGAAAGTTAAGATCCAGCATGTAAAGGTGTGGCTATGGATGGTGGAGGGATTAAAACACTGAAAATAAACTACACAGTAGCATTTAGAAGCAAGGTCTCAGAGCAGTCTGTGTTCATGGACGAGACATGGGTGCAGCACACTGCCCTTTCACATCACACACACACACCCCACACATCATTTTATTGTTTATTTTGTGGTGGTGACCAATACATTCTCCATGCTGTAGAGATGCAGAGCAAGACACAGTTCCTGCACCAAAGGGCTTTCAAACCAGAAAGACCCAAAAGAAAAACTAGACCAAAGATAGAGAAGTAAGAGACCACATACAAACTAATCACCATAATGACAAATACATGTCTTGTCAGTTATACAGGGTCTGGTCCTCAACTGGTGTAAATCAGCATAGCTACATTGACTTCAAAGCATCAACAAGGATCTGGCCACTATATTTTGTTTTAGTTGGCAAGGGTGGATGTGGGAGAAGTTTGTGAGGTAGCTCAGAAGTCAATGGCAAAGCTCATATTGACTGTGCTGGTACAGAATGGTCACCATGGTAAATAATGGCTTTAAGAGAGCACAGAGGTGTTTGCTTTGCAAAAATGAGAGTGGAAAGTATATTAAAAAATAAAACAACTCTTTCTTGCCCAGGACCACTAGATGTCAGTACGTCTTAAGGAAAGAGAAAAATCTAGATCCAAAGAGGCCCAAGAGAGGCCTCCTCTGATTCGAAATGCACTGGTCCCAGATTAAGAAAGTCCCATTATGAGGACATGGCAGACTATTAGGAGAAGAATTCTGGAAAAGGAATTCCTCAAATCCACTTTAAGACTGGAAATGCAGATAAATGGAGTTGGGTGGAAAGACAGCAGAGCAGAAAGAATACATGATCTGTAGAAAGCTGCCCTTCATGCTCCAGAGTTGTGTGTGCATGTGGGGTTTCCCCAGGGCTGGCCCGAGCCATTCGTGCTCCCCAGGCCCCGGGAGCATGGCACTGCCCCCAGGAGTGCGGATCATGCGCGGCCCCACCCCTGGGTACGTGGTGCCTCTGGGTCCTGAGTGCCCGGCACATGCGCAGCCCCACCTCCGGGGCACCAAGGTACCGCCCCCACTCGGTCCAGCAGCCCTGAGAGGCACCCCCTACAATGGGGTGCCCCGGGCAGTAGCCCGGTCAGCCCATAGCTTGTGCCAGCTCTGGGTTTCCCACAGAATGAGGGTTATGCCCATCTGGGTGAACAATGCAAAAATATGGCTCCCTCAAATATCCTTTGCATTAATAATTTACTTTTAATTTTGCATTTAGCTGCACATGGCTTTACCGGGAACTTGGGGTTTGCCATTCTCAAACCTCCAAATGACTATGTTCAACTATGCTGAAAACAGATGTCACAGTCACTGGCATAAGGATTAATAGAAAATGAGTTTCAAACCCACACATGTGTGTTGCCAGGCCAGAAATACTTATGCACTCCTTTGTTGCTACCTGCCTGATGTTAGCAAATTGAGAGAAGACCATGGACTCATTTTTTCCTTATCCCTTTTCCTTTGTGGCCATGTCTTCCCAGGAATATCCATAAAATCAGACTACAGGCTCAGCTGATACGCATGAGCAAATACTATACGCATGGCAGTTAAAGGCTGCATCAGTAAGATCTGTCACAATCTATCCGAGACAGGACTATGTAGCACTTGAAAGACTAACAAGATGGTTTATTAGGTGATGAGCTTTCGTGGGCCAGACTTACTTCCTCAGATCAAATTGTGGAAGAAAATTGGCATGACCATATATACCAAAGGGATACAATCATCTAAAATCTGATTTGTCTACTTTATATGTGTTCACTTTTTTTTGATTGTATCCCTTTGGTATATATGGTCATGCCAATTTTCTTCCACAATTTGATCTGAGGAAGTGGGTCTGGCCCACAAAAGCTCATCACCTAATAAACCATCTTGTTAGTCTTTCAAGTGCTACATAGTCCTGTTTTTTGTTTCAGCGAGACTAGACTAACACGGCTACATTTCTATTACTAATCTATCTGAGGGACTTCTATGGCCCTCCAGGGCACTTCACAGTCTTTTAATGGATTTATCTTCACATCATCCTAAGACTGTGATTCTCAACTGGTGGTCCATGGACCACTGATGGTCCATGGACCACTGATGGTCCATAGTGACTTTTTCGGTGGTCCACGAAAATATTTTGATTGGCCTGGTGGTCTGTGGACTGAAACAAGTTGAGAACCACTGTCCTAAGCGATAGGGTAGCACTATGGCTTCCATTATACTGATAGGGATCTGAGGCACAGAGAGATTGAGGGTACGTCTAATCTACATGCCTCCGTCGACGGAGGCATGTAGATTAGCCAGATCGGCAGGGGGAAATGAAGCCGCGATTAAAATAATCGCGGCTTCATTTAAATTTAAATGGCTGCCCCGCTCTGCCGATCAGCTGTTTGTCGGCAGATCGGGGCAGTCTGGACGCGATGCGCCGACAAAGAAGCCTTTCTTGATCGGCACAGGTAAACCTGGTTTCACAATGCATACCTGTGCCGATCAAGAAAGGCTTCTTTGTCGGCGCGTCGCGTCCAGACTGCCCCGATCTGCCGACAAACAGCTGATCGGCAGGGCGGGGCAGCCATTTAAATTTAAATGAAGCTGCGATTATTTTAATCGCGGCTTCATTTCCCTCTGCCGATCTGGCTAATCTACATGCCTCCGTCGACGGAGGCATGTAGTCTAGACACACCCTGAGTGACTCACCCAAGATTACACAGGAAGTCTATGACAGACCAGGGAATTTAACTTGGGTCTCACAAATTAGAGGATAAAACGTTAACCATTGGAATAGAATTCCTTTCCACCTGGCCCTAAAATTTCATTCAGACCCACCCCAGCCTCAGGAGCAATTAGATTTCCTAGGAAGTTGCCAGCATGACAGGAAAGGGATCATATAACACATGTGATACTAATAGCCCTGATTACACAGTACCACTAAATGCTAGACTGATCTGCTATGGAATGGCAACCTAACAACCAAGATTTCAAACAAGTTAGATATGTAGTTTTGAATACAAATTCATGTCTAATTTCTGAATGCAATTATTGTAACTGTAGGATTAAATCAGGTAACTGTGTATGCAAACAGTAAACATGCAAGTCACCAGGGCCTGATGAAATGCATCCTAGAATACTCAAGGAGCTGATAGAGGAGGTATCTGAGCCTTTAGCTATCATCTTTGCAAAATCATGGAAGACAGGAGACATTCCAGAAGACTGGAAAAGGGCAAATATAGTGCCCATTTATAAAAAGGGAAACAAGAACAACCCAGGAAACTACAGATCAGTCAGTTTAACTTCTGTGTCAGGAAAGATAATGGAACAAGTAATTAAGGAAATCATCTACAAACACTTGGAAGATAATAGGGAACAGCCAGCATGGAACTGTAAAGAACAAATAATGTCAAACCAATCTGATAGCTTTCTCTGATAGGATAACAAGTCTTGTGGATAAGGGAGAAGTGGTAGACGTGGTATACCTAGACTTTAATAAGGCATTTTATATGGTCTCGCAGGATATTCTTATCAATAAACTAGGCAAATACAACTTAGGTGGGTGCATTACTGGCTGGATAACCATTCTCAGAGAGTAGTTATTAATGGTTCACAATCCTGCTGGAAAGGTATAACAACTGGGGTTCTGCAGGGGTCTGTTTTGAGACTGGTTCTGTTCAATATCTTCATCAACGATTTAGATATTGGCATAGATAGTACGCTTATTTAGTTTGCAGATGATACCAAGCTGGGAGGGGTTGCAACGGCTTTAGAGGATAGGGTCATAATTCAAAATGATCTGGACAAATTGGAGAAATGGTCTGAGGTAAACAGGATGAAGTTTAATAAGGACAAATGCAAAGTGATCCACTTAGGAAGGAACAAGCAGTTTCACACATACAGAATGGGAAGTGACTATCTAGGAAGGAATACGGCAAAAAGGAATCTAGAGGTTATAGTGGACCACAAGCTAGATATGAGTCAACAGTGTGACGCTGTTGAAAAAAAAGCAAACATGATTCTAGGATACATTAACAGATGTGTTGTGAGCAAGACACGAGAAGTCATTCTTCCACTCTACTCTGCACTGATTAGGCCTCAGTTGGAGTATTGTGTCCAGTTCTGGGCACCACATTTCAAGAAAGATGTGGAGAAATTGGAGTGGGTCCAGAGAAGAGCAACACGAATGATTAAAGGTCTAGAAAACATGACCTATGAAGGAAGACTGAAAGAATTGGTCTTGTTAATTTGGAAAAGAGAAGATTGAGAGGGGATATGATAGCATTTTTCAGGTTTCTAAAGGGGTGTCATAAGGAGGAGGGAGAAAAATTGTTCTTCCTTGCCTCTGAGGATAGAACAAGAAGCAATGGGCTTAAATTGCAGCAAGGGAGGTTTAGGTTGGACATTAGGAAAAAGTTCCTAACTGTCAGCGTGGTTAAACACTGGAATAAATTGCCTAGGGAGGTTGTGGAATCTCCATCTCTGGAAATATTTAAGAGCAGGGTAGATAGATATCTGCCAGGGATGGTCTAGACAGTACTGGGTCCTGCAATGAAGGCAGGGGACTGGATTCGATGGCCTCTTGAGGTCCCTTCCAGTCCTAGTATTCTATGATTCTATTATTCTTATTTGGCAACTTACCCAGGAAATTACCCAGTTTGCACATTCAGTTGCAGCATTCAATTGCAGCATTTGCCTCTCTAATTAATTTGAAAAACTGGCTGTATTCTAAGACTTCAGAAAGACATGAACTGGTGAGCACCAACATTCCCAGACTCATAATGATCTAGAGCGGGCTTGGGGAACCTATGGCCCATGGACCAGAGCCAGCCCCCAGCTTACTTGGATCCGGCCTGCAGTGAGGCCAGAGCGCGACAAGCTGGCACTTTTGCTGCAGCCCCATGGCAAGTCTCCAAAATGTTATGTGCCATGTTTTATTGACCCTATGCCCTCATGCCTCAGATATAAAAGAATACAGGTTGCATTCACTTACTTATCATTGACATATTCTCCATTCCTATGGATCTGGTTTTCCAGTGTGAAGTTGAAGGTGAAGTGCTCTATACGTTCCCGATTGAAGATTTTGACACGGGTTTCATATTCCTCATTCTGGAGATATCGGATCATGTCAGGGAACCAGACAGTAAGGCCATAGTAACTGCCACAAAGAGAGGAAAGGGGCATGTTTATGATAAAGTTTACAAATATTTTGGTGTTGGGCTGGACCTGCACAATATCTGTCTTAGAAGTAGCTCTATTTCTTGGTTCTCAGTCAATGCTTCCAGGTAAATGTAATGCTGGGGGAAAGTATCAGATTGACTAGAGAACAGAGTCTTCCATTTATCCACAGCACAGGAATGTCATCATGGCCAATGGTGAAACCTGCTTTAGAGGAACCAAGTGCCCTAAGTGACGAGCAAGTAGTTCAATCTCTAGGGAAATTTCAGCCCTTGAATTATCAGTTGATGTTGCCAATAAAGAAGCCATCATTGGTGCCAACAAGAGACGGGTAAATAGAGTGCAAATATTCTGTATATATTGAGTTCCAATGTTGTTAACAAATTCATTTTTTCATGCCTACGGTTCTTTTGTGTTCAGGAACAAGTGCAATCAAGTTGCATTAGCATAGCTCCTTGTGGAAGGCAAAAGTTAGACACACATTTCCCAGTTCTTCCTAAAAGAGAATTATAAATTCACTTCACAGGAGCATTCAACCTAGAAACAGCCAGTTGGTTAGCAGTTTATTTTCAACACTACTAATATAAACAGGGTTCAAACAAGAGACCTAGAAATTTAAGGCTCCATATAAGACTACTGAGCCATGCAATACCAAGTTACCAACCTTTCTTCCCCAAGGCCTGATTTTTTCAAGGTATATTAAACTCTCTGTTATGGGCTGTCAGACTATTGAATAAAACATAGCTGCTTAGCAGATCACAGCCTAGATTTTCATGGGTGCTGTCTCTTTAAAATAGGTTTATGTGGGCAAAATTTGGTTTTTGTAACACAGTTAATCTCACAAAGGCTGATAGCACATTTCACTGTAGATGGACATTGATTGCAACAATTAAGCTCTCGGACAGCTACAGTTTCTTGAGAAAGTTAGAGAAGTGACTTACCTAAAGGCCATTGCAAACCAAACCAGAGCCAGAATCAGTGTATTCATCCTGTACTGGGCTGTCAAGCAATACAAGAGGTTGTCCCAGACCTACAAATCCACAGGAAGGGCATCAATCACATAGAAATCCTAGCAGAGACCTTGAAACATTCATTTAAGACCAGGTCATGAATTTAATAATAAAAGTGAAGAGGGCTCATGTGGGAAAAGATAGATGGGCTGTTCAGATCCAGAATTTGTTCCAAACTGGGTTTACAAGGACAGATTACAGAGATACGTATGAGGACCTGAAGGGACAATGTTCATGAAGGCTTGGTCCAGTAACCTTCAGGATAAACGTTTCTGTAATGAGCAGGTACGTGTAACACTGCTCTCCATTAAACGGGTCTGGAGCTGCTTACCTGTATCCTATAGAACTTAGCCTGATAAACAGATAAAGGAGATTTCTCTTTACTTCAAGTGGCAGGAGCATCTGCTTCTGAAGCCTAAGAATCTAGGTTAACTCTACAGCTTCTCTTGGCAGTTGTGATGGGCAGAATAACAGGAGGGTGTAAAGTGCCAAAGTGGCCAAAGTGCTTGCTGGAGACTCAGTTTTAGCAAGCACCAACATTAACCAGACAGAATTCAGAGAGAGAGAGAGAGAGAGAGAGAGAGAGAGAGAGAGAGAGAGAGAGAGAGAGAGAGAGTGTGTGTGTGTGTGTGTGTGTTAGGTTTGTGCAGCAGAAGTGGAAGGGAAATCAAATACACGTGTGCTGCGGATTCACCCTGAGGATTCCTTTAACTTAACTGATATGCCATATATGGCTAATCAGTTCGGGAACTGGTTGGTGGCTTGGGCTAAGGATGTAAAGTGAGGATGTGGGGGTAGATATAGAAAATGCTACCAGAGCCCAGGCCCATTCATCCAACACAGTGAACCCAAGGGATGTTGTGACTATGAATCAATCTCAGCACAGCTAAGGCACTGAAGCCTTGAAGCCTAATGGGCAAAAGCTCTTGTGAGATTGATTGTGCCTCATGCCCCATACCTGTCTGAATGTGGTTGTGAATCTGACCAACCAGCGCTGGTACCATGTTCCTGTTGAGCTCTGGATTTCAATAAATTCGTCTACTTGCTTTGGAGTTTTGATGTTGGCAACCTGAAAAACACAAACCAAAGTTTCAGCAATTGAGCCTGGATGGATTCAACTATTTCTCTCTCTTCTGCACAATTCCTTTGCTTCCAGTACAGCAAACTTCCCTGATGTTTGCCACAGAACTTTCACCTGCTATTTTTTTGTGATGTGTTACCATTGGATACTGAGTTTTTCTCATGGGCAAAGAATCGCTCTCTCTCGCTCTCTCGCTCTCTCTAAAGAATCGCTCTCTCTCGCTCTCTCTCTCTCCCTGATATATTTCAAATCAACTTCAAACCTTCATTTAATAGGTTGATAATAAAATGCAATTCTGACATTCAATGCATTAAGCTAATACACATACACTATGTGATCTTATCTTTAAGAATTCGCCTGGTGATTAGAGCTCACAATTATTGCAAAAAAAACCAAAACCCAACATATAAGTTAATACGGTTTTAAACAAACTTGCTTGTAAGTATACTTGTAAATAACTGCTCTTGAATGTGCTATAACCTAGGAATCAGTCACAGACAGTATTTGGTGAATAATTCTGAGTAAAGAACATATTCAAGAAAATTGCAATCTGTGGTGAAAAAAGAAAAAGAAGGTGAAATTCACTGAATAATTTATTCAGTATGAATGAGTCACTCAGCTCGATAAGCGAGTGCCTATGTTCTCCTGACTGGAACTGTTTAAATGTCAGATCTGGGAATTGTCCCAGGAACAGCTGGTGCATGACTGACTGGCTCCCACCGGCCAATTAGCAAAATACAACTTCATGGGAATGTTACAAGGCAAGGAGAACTCATTGTCTGCCTGTGCCAGGAGGTTTCAGTAAGTCTTGAGTCAACAGCCAAACTCCAGATCAGAAGTACAATATTTCAAATCACTTTGCTACATAGAAAATAGGACATCATTAGCTGGAGTAAATGTTCAAAAGTGTTGTGCAGATTGACAGACTGAGTCCTAAAAGGAGCAGATGCCTTTAGGATAATCAGGTACAGGAGCAAATACATATAGGTTTGACACAAGAGTGACACAGACAACACACAGTTTTAATCCAGAAGCAGCATTGGTTCCGTGTGCTCTAAATCCTCCAAGATGGTCAGTCTCACATTACAATAGGATAGTGATAGAAATGTAGCCGTGTTAGTCTGGGGTAGCTGAAGCAAAATGCAGGACAATGTAGCACTTTAAAGCTTCCTCCCCCTTCCCACCCCCCCGCATTCCCCTTCTGTTCTGCAATGTGATTTGTCCTTTTCATATTTGTTCATTTTTTTTAATTGTATCCTTTGGTATATATGGTTGTGACTACTTTCTTCCACTATTTGATCTGAGGAAGTGGGTCTGGCCCACGAAAGCTCATCATCTAATAAACCATCTTGTTAGTCTTTAAAGTGCTACATTGTCCTGCATTTTGCTTCAATTACAATAGGAATGTGCCCTGCTTCTCTCAGTGCAAATAGGAGAGATGCTGGTGTGGATTGAGGCTGCCATTGTAGACTAAAGGCAAGAGATGGGGATAGCTGCTGAAGAAGGGGCATGAAGTAGAGGGGAGAGCACTTGAAACATTCAGCATCCTGTTTGCCACATCTTATAGTTCTGCAGTATAACCAATCTGGCCATCCCAGTTTTACAGAAGACTAACTAACTAACTAACTAACTAACTCTTTCTTTCTTTCTTTCTTTCTTTCTTTCTTTCTTTCTTTCTAGTTGAATTTATTATGCCCAGGAAATAGCTCAGGCTCATTAAGCCCATTTTCTGACCCTGGAGTCTTATCACACTTGGAGGTGCAGTAAATTAATCTCTTGTATTATTGATGGTCTCATTCATTATGGACACTGTTCCTGCATAACTCCTCTTCCAAGTTAATCATGCTTTTTGCACCAAAAAGCTGAATTTTGCAGCCAGATTTTTCTTCCCTCCCTTTTTCTTTTAAGGATATGAACCTTCTCATACATAACAATCTCATTCAAAGAGCATTCCGCAGCTGATGCACTGACTGTTTACTGCACATTTACTGAGTTTTGTGATTAACTCCACCACACACCTTCTCTAAACCCACTAAGTTAGACTATGCCTATTTCAAATGTTTTCACCCTAAGCATTGGCCCAGTGACTAATAATCATTCACCTCACTTTCCATCAAAGAGATTAAAGCCTGGCTACTAGGCAGATGGGGTTTGGGAAGCTCATTAGGAGGTACATGGAGCTTAATCAGAGTTTGATTAGAAACTGCAATGGAGAAAGGAGTCATCCGGATTTCCCACATGAGTAATGTCCTGCTTGTTTACTTTGCTCCTAGAGCAGAGCAATTAGAGGTCTGAGTGTAATTGGAGCTATCCACTGTGCTTTATCCCCATTCATATATAACTCCAGCCAACTTTCATGGGATTGATCACTGAAAAACAAGGCTGGTGTATGACCTTAGGCCAGGTCTACACTAAACCCAGCAGCTTGGCTGTACTGTTCATACGTAGCTGGAGTCGGTTTACCTAAAGCCGAGCTTGGCAGCATCCCCACAGCAGGAGTCTGACAGGAGCAAATGCTCCTGTCAGCTTCCCTTACTCCTTGCAAAAGCAGGAGAGGGGGCTCTCTCTGAGTTTGATTTAGCGAGTCCTAACTAGACTCACTAAATCAATCTCTGGAAGTTTGATTGTGGCAGCAGATATTCCATTTAGTGTAGACAAGGCCTCAGTGTGCAATCCTTATCTTTTCTCATTCTCTCTCCTGGCTCCTGGAGGTCACATACAAGGCTGTCCTTAGGATTTATGGGACCGTACACATGCAGTACTATTAAACTGGTGCCCCGTGCCTTGTAGCAACTGGAGATGATGATTTTTTAGAGATATGATCCTTGTAGCAGCTGGAGGAGATGATGATTTTTTAGAGATATGATTTTATAATCTTTAGCAACACATTAATGAAATAGTTTTAAAAACAATTTTTAAACTAAAGAAGATCCTGTAGACTAATGCAGTAAATTCAGAAACTGACAGGGATTGGAAAATGCCTGTTAAATGGCTTCATTACCACTTGAATATCTCTTTCATGGGTGTCTGGAAGGTTTTTTTCACTTTTAATTAACTAGATCCTCTCTGGAGGAAGCAGAGCCACAGAACAGGGATAGGAAGAGGCTGGTGGGTGGACATTAAGACCCAGTGTTGCCCCAAATTTTTGAGTGCCCTATGTAGCTGCATATTCTGTATATGGGTAAGGAAGGTTCTGAGTGTGTGAGCAGCTGGAAGCTTCAGGGGAAAAATAAGGGAGGTCTGGTGCCCTTCAAAGGAGATTCCAAACCAGGAGCTGGCCTATAAAGATTCCCATCTACCAGTGACCCCTTTACCTCAGTGTAACTAACTGCTTTCCAGAAGAAAACCATACTCACCGTAAACACCCTCTCCGGCTCCCCTTTGGCCCTCATGTTGGTATCATGAACTTGCTTGAGAATCATCCAGGCTTCATCATGTTTACCTATCTGGATACACCAAGGGAAGACCATCTCAAGTCAGCCATTAAATACCATGGAATCCAGTCATGTGGTTTTAAAAATGACACAGGAAATCCAGCTCTGGGGGCCCAGGTGCAATGGAGCAGGGCCGTTCTGCATTGTGTATTGAGGAGGGAAAAGCAGAGGGCAGAAGGCCAATCCATCAAGGTTTATCTTTGTGGACAATGCCACAGTTTTGTGGCAGAAGAAAAGGAAGCGCTCTGTAATGATTATTTAGAAGAAGGGAGTGAGGCAAAGTGTTGTCTCCAGGCTGAGCATAGGACGTATCAGGAGACAGGGTTCTCCTCCCGCCTCTGCTAATGCTTACTGTGTAACCTTCAGCAAGTTGATGTGCCTCGATTTTTCCATCTATACAATGGGGATAAGTAATACCTCTCTGAGGGTATGTCTACACTACAGCACTAATTCGAACTAACTTAGGAATGTGTCCTGTTAAGCTAATTCGAATTAGCGCATCTAGACTTAAAAAATAGTTCGAATTAGCGTTTTGCAATAGCGAATTAGCATGTCCACACTGAGTGGACCCTGAACCGAGGTTAAAGATGGCCGGAAGCAGTGCCGGCAGGGCATCAGATTAGGACTTAGAGCATGGAGCTGCTGCCTCAGGCTAGCCGAGGGCTGTGCTTAAAGGGACCCAACCCCCACCCCGGACAGACAGTTCTCAGGGTTCCCCGCTTGCAAAGCAGTCCTGGCTTGGAGTGCCCTGAGTGCCCACACTCGGCACATCACAGCACTCGGCCATCTGCCCGGTTGCACTTGCCGCAGGCTGCCATCTGGAGGGGGGGGGTCAATCAAGGGGCTTCAGGAGAGCTTCCACCCCGAGGAGC